ATACCTGATGGGTTTGGGCAGCCCCATGGGTGTGAGGTTATTTTGAGGCTTGGGTAAAGTTTTCCGAATTCTGATAGAAGACACCTTTCTTCGTTCCTCATGCTTTTGCACCATCTGTTGAGATAAACAAAGAGATTAACGATTATTTAAAAATACAATAAAGCACAAATAACAGCAGTGATCTCAGAAAAGTATGGCTGAAAGTGGCAACTAACAAACTGTAAATTGTACTGTACACATCTGTAAATACCCCGTCACCTTATTTTAAATAACGTGTACCTTAATTTCAGAATCAGAGTGAGCCTTTTCCTCTCTTAGCCCACCATCTTCAAACTCCTGACTGGAAGAACTTGTCTCCTCGCCATCATCCTCCTCCTCACTCTGTTGTCTCCTCTCAGTCTCACACTCCAATGGATTCCCACTTCAGAGAAATTGAGAGTTAATATTAGCTTGGCATTAACACCTCCGAGCATACTACAGACTTTAACGAAGAATGTTACCTGCTGCTAGAATCCATGGCAGCACCAGAGGAATCTGCTCTTGAATGGTGCCATGTGGAGGAGCTTAATGGGGATGTAAGAGATGAAGCGGAGGAGGGAGCAGAAACATGGCTACAAGTGCTGAGACTGCCAGCAACTCCTTTGCTGTCAAACCTCTTAGAAAGGAAAGCCAGGGGGCTCGAAAGGAAGCAGGAAGCAAGAGCAGAGATGGAGGTGCTGGGGGAAAGTGCAATACTAGGAGACAGGTGATGAGTGACAGGGTCGTACAGGGTAGATCTTCTAGATGGGTAAACCTCTTTACGAAGACACAGGGGGGCGATCTCCCTCTCCACCTCCACGCTGCAGACTGTGTGTCGCCGAGCCCGCCGCAGGGATTTCTGCGCCTGAGAGACAAAAGGACTGTGGGAGGACTGGTGCGATGTGAGAGCCCTGCTGGGATGTGGTGAGGTCCAAGTTGTGTCATGGGGATGGAGGCAGAGGATTTCTGGGCAAGAGTAGCTGCGTAACAGGCGGTGTGAGAAGCAGTTTTCTGATGAGCGTGCACCTGACGTTGCTAGATTTACATCATCCATTGTGACAGAGTTTGTCACCTCTTCACTTTTGCGTGTCCTACTGTGCAGAACTCGGCATTTTCTCCTTTGGTTATCTGCTTGCCTGGGCTTTATGTTAGCTCTTCTTGTGCTAGACCTTAGCTTAGAGAGACTGACACCCTCATCATTAAAAACTTCAGAGTCCGTGTGAAATATTTCTTCTGCCACAGAAGCTGAACTCTTTAGATTCTTCTGAGCGTGCCTATTATCAATATCATTGTTTAGAGGAGAGTCCACATGAAGTTGTGAAGGTGAAGGAAGGGGTTGGAAATTACTTTCAAAGGGAGTCATTTCAAAATATACAGTCTCCGTTGAGTTTTTACTTTTACTTTCTTTAGACTGACTCTCTTGAAGGTTGACGACACATTGCTGTGTCTCTAGAGTCCTACTTGATACACATGATTGAGTAGCACCTCTAAGACCCTTTTTGGGTCTCTTAGACAGCTGGCTCAGCCCTCTTATCAAGTCCTTTCCTTTTTCAGCATGTTGAGAGGTATTAAAATCCTTAGGCACAAATTCCATTAGGCCCACTGACAGTACCGATGAGGTAGACACCAAAGGGCTGTCTGATTCTGTCACTGAACTTATCTGATTTGCCGATTTCCGTTTCTGTGGCTTCTTGTTAATATTCCTGCACTTACTTGTATTCTGGAGCTGCTTTATACAAGGACGGACAAGCGCTTTGGACGACGGCTCATCTTGGTTTGTAGAAGTGATTGCTACAGTAGTTTCAAGATCCATACTGGCATCAATATTTACATCAGAATTACTAATAACTATTCTGTTCTGCCTTTTGCATGAAGTAGTAGAGCTTGCTTTGATTTGGCAGCTCATGTGGTTGTCTTCTGCCACACCAGTGCTTTTATCCAGTGAACAAACCAACATAGCATCAGGGGAACTTTCAGTTTGCGAGTGCAACACAGCTTCATTGATTGTACCAAGCATTTCTTGACCAGATTTTCCTTTCCTAGTCGTTCTTGTTGACACAAAAACAGACTGTCTCTGTCTTCCAAGCTTCGGTGCTTCTTCATTTATTAACTCGATTTCTTCTCTCCCTGAAGCTGTGTTTGATAACTCTTGCTTTTGTGTAACTTTTGTATGTGTATCTGGTGTCAGTCTTTTTCTTTTTACAGAGTCTTGGGAATGACAGTTCAGTTTCAACCCTCTCTTTTCTCTCACAAAACCAGAAACTGAACACTTGTCCTGATTTAGCCGCCACTCCTGTTGTTGCAGATCTAAAGTGGACCTCAGAGTCCTTTTATTAACACTGTCATCGAGACTCTTTTGGAGGTTTTCTTGAACCAAGCGGCAGCTTTCTTCAGTCTCCTTCTTTTCATCACCATCGGGCTGAAAACAGTCCATGCCAGGCTGAGGGTAAGAAACTGAGAAAGATGAAGACAGCATTTTTTCAGTGTCACCTGAGTCCAGGCTCTGGTAAGAAAGCTGCTTCTTACTGACCTCTGGGTCAGACTCTTCCTTGAAGTCAACCCTCTTCAAGCCAGATCTATTTCCTGCACGTTTTCTGGAAAGTGGTTTTAGACGAACAGAAGTCTTGAATTTCTGGTCCACCAAAACAATGCACATCTTTGACCTGGATTCACAAGAGGCACTTACACTTGCAGAGGACCGTAAAACGACAGAGGAGCCAACAGACTCTGAAACATCAAGTTGTGAGGGGCAGTGTGGCAAAGGCACTGAGGCAGGTGAGGTTTTTTCCTTCTGGTGTACTGCAAATTCATCAACGATTTCTGAACCTATTGTTGAATCCTCATCAAAATTTAATGTTTTAGAATATTTAGGAGAAACAGTTTGTGTGTTTTGTGCATCTCCTACATTAGTGAGCTCGTTTTGATCAGCTCTGCAGTGCTGATTCTCATTTTCACTTTGTCCTTCAGGATGAAGCGTACTGCTTGGCTCTGAACGCTCAACATCAGCTGTTCCATCAGCCTTTAGCTCATCGAGTCTGTCAGAATGGTCCACTGACGGTGGAGGACTGCTGGCTCGGAAAAGTTTAACAGGACTCATGACTATCTCTGTGAAACTGGCCATCTTTGACTTGAACGACTGAAACAATGGGCCGATCACCCATCCCTTTGGGGAATATGCATTTTCAACAGTGTGTCCAGCAGCCACATCCCCGCATGTATCCATGTCAGATTTGGCGGCATCAAGACTCTCTGGGACATTTTCATCCAACAGTTTAACAACATTTTCTCCTGGAGACAGATTTAATTTCTGCTCTGGGAGTTTTTGGTCCTTTTGCCTATGACAAACAAAAAAAAGTCAATTTTGATTTCCAGAGAAAGTCAGGAATTGTATAATATCCAAATATAATAACATAATAATCACAGAAATAGAGATTTCTACAGTACAGATAAATGCATTTCATTATCCATGTCATCAGTGATTTTCCCCCTGGAAAATCACTACAAATATTTTATTATTCACTTAATTAAGTTGTAAAAGATAAGATAAAAAAGAAGGCCTAAATCAAGACTACTAAATGGCAATGCACTATACATACTGTGAAAAATCATCAGTCACACTTACCTATTTTGCCATTCTGCTGTAAAGCCAAAATCAAATCCATCCTGCAAAATAAGAACATAAATATTTTAGAAATAATTTGTAAACATTAAGGTGTGCTTGGCTGAGCATTTATACTAACAAGCTAACATTTAGCTGCTCCTTATAGAGGGAAAGATTTTCCATATAATGTTTTGCATAACTATAACAAATTATTGGGTCTCATGTCCCTCGTTCCTCCCCAGTTTTCCCTTCATATTTCATAAAAATAAATAAAATCACACTGCGTAGATTAAAATTAAGAGAAGCTCATTTTTAAAAATTTGGTGAGACAAAATCGGTTGTAAACAGCTGAGACCAAGTTTGGTAGCTCAGTAACCTATTTAGTTATAAGTGTTGGCTCTGGATTTAATTGTAATACAAATACTCTTCTGCAACGAAAACATTGTTACATTAAAAATCTGCGGTCTGCACAGTATTAGGTCACATTATAACACTCGATTGCTTGTCTATGTCGAATGCAGCAGACCATGAAGGAGGATTAAATCGCTCAATTAACCCTCACACCCAATTCACTGTACAGATCTACTGTACAGCGTCTGTATGCAGAGATTAGACACCGAAAAAAATATAATCGAGGACATGCAGACAGGCCGTCTCAGTTTGTCTTTTAATCTATTCCTTACAGAGCTACCGGTATGTGATAAGAAAACGTATCTCAGAGAATCAGACAGTTACCTTGTTTTGGCTGTCGTGTGCATCTGTTCCTTCCACTCTCGACTGCTTAGATTGTGCCACTTGCACCTATAAATGAGAGAGATGGTGTGTTAACTGTGATTTATTTCATTACCTAAGACCATCAAAAAGACTTTATGTAAGAGTCCTACCATAATCCCACTCTCTCTTTGTCTCTTTGTGGGGGACGGATTCTGTTTAATCGGTCTCTGAGCCGCTTGACTGTCTGTGTTACTTTGTTTTTTAGGAGTCTGAGCTCGGATGCCTTGAATGCGACCACTCCTTCTGTGGCCAGATATTCCATCATGTGGACGGCTGTGAAAGGATAAAACAAGAAAAAAAAAAAAAGAAAAGAAAAGAAACCCATTTATCCAAGTTATGATGAAAGACATGCAGTGTCACGGGAATAGAAAAGATGCGAAATCCAGCCTGCATAAATATGATAGCTACAAGGCCATCTGACAATTAAAGTTCAACATCCTAAACAAATTTTACACCAAACCAGGTTAACAGATTCTGCCATTTAAATACGTATAAAAACACAGATAATCCCACCTAAGCTCGTCTACCTGCAAGCTTCCACAGATCCACCTGCTGTCTGGAGAGGCTTTTTAAAGCTAAACACTAGTGGTTGTCTGCACTTTAGGGTGCGACAAAGCAAGTTCAACACTATAGCCGGGCTCTCTTTGCATTAGCTGCCTTGACAAAACCTAAAACTTAAGGCTGAAACAACAGGCATCACAACTGTGGGTATGAACGGTCTGTTAACCCAAGGTTCGTGCTTCACGGTCTGTGCAAGCTCGCATAAAAGAACGCTTTTGATGTATTTTGATCAACCTTTTTTCACACAAAAAAGTGATGATGAACAGAAAATATATTTTCTATCAAGATAATTTTAAAAGTACATATAAAATGACAAAATGTAGTGATATTGCTGCAAAAGATGAGACAAAAAAAAAAAATCAATAATCTTGTGAATGAATGGTTTATTATATTTACTTTTCCACTCAACAGTGCATTAGAATTCTGAAACTTTAAGCATTTGAAATTACAGGCTGCTCAATGTGTTTAGATCTGATTCAGACCCATGTCCTGATGAAGGTGATATGGATATCACTTTAAACTATCACCTCATCCGAGTGAAATTTTTTTATTCAGTCAAGAGTATGGGCAGGGTTTGCATGGCTTTATTAGATGGTATTAGCAGGTAAGGTTCAACAGGTTACTTGTATAAGATGCAGTCCTTCATAAATTAATCTATATCACACTTTGAATCTGTGAAATTTTAAACTACAACTCTGATCATAACCTGCTCTGGCTAGAAAAAAAAAAAAAAAGAACCAACTTCGTGACATTGAAGACTGACTGGAAGCTTAACCCATTGCTTTTGATTCATACTACACCCCTCAGGTTAGGCAGATTGTGCCATTTATCCCAGGTGTGTCTACAGATCATAAAGTCATTCTTTCATAAAGAAAAAAAAAGTGCCCTAATGCAAGAAGGGGAAATTATACAAAGAGCAAAATAAATCAAGAGGTGCCAGGACAACTATACCTGGGAGTGATGGAGGAAAGGGAGAGGAAAGGTGGTGCAGGTTCACTGTGGGGAGGTGCACTACAGAAAGGGTTTGGGGGGATAGCATCTTCATCCATTGGACAAACTATCTGAGTGAGTGAGTCAGAGGGATAAGTCAACATCCCCTTGCTCTCTCGCTCTCTTTTTCCCTCTCCTTGTCTGGCCTTCTCTGTAAATAACAACAATGGAAAATAAAACAAACATGCGGGGCACCAAAACAGCACATCATCATTTGAAAGTAAGTCTTGAAATGGATTTTTCACTTACTTTGCTAAACTCTGAGATGGGACTTTATTCTGCAATTGAAAAAAATTAATAATAATAGCATAAGTTTTTAGAATATATACACAAAATGTCTGACAATAACGTAGCATCACAGCAGAAGTCTAGATTTAATATCATATAAGGCCAGGAAAACACACAGTTAAACAGAAATTTTGGATATTTGATATTATAGCCTACTAAATGATTAAATAAAAGCAACAAAACGTAGATAGGGGCAAGTACAAATAATATAGTTAACGTTAATACAATACAGCAATCACTGAAAACAATAATTGATTATTGTGCATTATAAAAATTCCTATCAACGTGGTGAAAAAAATATTATTTTCTCGTAGTAATTTTATGCTTAGTTATGACGCAGAAATAATTTGATTTTAAGTGCAGCATTGGCGAGACGTACAAATAAACGTTTGCTCACAGTACATCATTTTAAAATTGATAAACGCCAATTATAATAGTTGAAATTGCAACGATGCAATTAATTTTATAATAAAAAGTACAATTGGAGGCAAACCCTCGGTTCTCAACCTTTGAATTTCAGCTCCCAATCTATGCCAGTCATTGTGGTTGGCATTCCGTATCCTTTCACTTGCGCCTCAAGTCCGTTAGAGAAAAGTTGTCTAAGCTTAGATCTAACATAAGTTGATAGAAACAAGAAAGCAGTAAAAGGGAAATGCACCGTAGTTTTATTGCTATTCCATCACGAAGGAATCCAGTCAGCGCTTTTAATCGAATGGAAACCATCAAAATTGGGTGAGGTCTACTTGCTGGAAATCACAGATTCACATTTAAACTTTTATTTATGAGCCAACGAACGAAAACTACAGCAAATCTTGACTCAACCACTGAAATGGTTTGTCGTAATAAAATACTGCGTTTTATCTGAAGTGGAGCCTTAAGACTACTCTGCCAACAATGCATGCCTTGGCTGACGCCGATATTCACAGTGTACGGCAGTCAGTTACGGCACCAGGCAATAGTCGTAGCCAAAGAACTGTCATTTCCAAAGGTTCGACCATTTTTTATCGGGGAGCTAAACTTCTGTTCGTAGTTTAGCCGCAAATTGTTATAGCAGCTAAACAGGATTAAAGAAACTTACCTGAAATGATAAGCTGGACCGCAGCGTAGCGAACTGACCTCACCGTAAACAAGACATGCAGTAGCGACGGCGCCCTGCAGTGACTCGAAGATGTTATCCGTTTGTACCAAACATCTTAGGCAGACGGATTGTCCAATCACAGCTCGACTTCTTTTCCGCCCGGAAAGTCCTGTTGAAATTTGACCAATCAGAAGAAGATCACAAGGGTCGTCGTTTGAGGGCAACCAATAGGAACGCAAAGACAAATGGCTGCAAAAATTATATTTTTAACGTCCTCGGGTGACCCAGTATCTTAAAAACCTACAATTGCGGCCAAATTGAATAAAATGAATATGGCATCGAATCAGAATGTTGTTCTTCAGGGTCAAAAAATATATTTAACAAATACGTTTTTAACCAGTTTAATTAATTTCTTTCTTTTACCTATGCTTTATCTGATAGTTATGAATGGTTGCTGTTTTTTCACTACTTATTAATGCAACAATAAGTAGCTTAATAAGTAGAAATTATGCTCGCAAAAAAATATTCAGTTTAGTATAACGTGTGACATCTAACAGCAAACCGCTTCTTTTTCTTAGGTTTACTAAATAGTCACTCAGCTAATCGAACAGTTACTGCACCATCTTTCACCATCTTTTGTTACATGCACGCAAGTTGATCAGAGTTGGATTTTGGTTTTTCTACTTTCTACGTATATTCTTCTGTATGGAAAATGTGCATTTTCCACGGCAGAAGTATCTTAATAGTACCTGTAAAAATTCCTGTGTGACTTTATCAGTCTTGCACATGATTGTGGAGGGATTTTGGCTCACTCTTCTTTTCAGTTCAGTGAGGATTGCCAGATTTGTTTACGCTTTAGCATTTTAATCAGATTGAGGTCTGGCCTTTGTCTGGGCCACTGCAACACCTTGATTGCTTTCTTTTTCAGCCATTCGGTGATAGATTTGCGGCTGCATTGAGACTACTGTCCTGCTGTATGACCCAGTTAAGCTTTAACTCTCCTCAGATTTGTCTCTAGAAAACTTTAGTGTATAGTGTTCATGGTCCACTCAGTGACTAACTCCTGATTCATGGAAAGCTTCATAACTGTGAATATTTTAATGTTTTCCACTTGTGAATAATATTTCTCACTGTAAAATAATAAACTTCAAATTGTTTGGAAACAGTCATATATCCCCTCCCAGACTGACTGGCACGCAACGATTGTTTCTCTAAATAATTTGCAGATGTATTTCCTCCATGGAATTACTTGGGGACCAGCAAAACTGCCAAAAAGTTCTGCTTTGAGTCAGCAGTGGGCTGTTACTTACCCTCTTAATTTATTCATTCTGGAATAAAGAGTCGAAACATTGACTCTACATAAGTGATTTTGAGCGTGACTACATCTATGAGTACATATGTTTGTGTAGATATAGGTCGATGTATGTATATATGAATGAGCTGTATAGCTTGTATACATATTAATGCATTGGTGCAATTTACATCTCGATATATGTAGGCCATAAGTTTTGTTGAAAGGAAGATGAATGTTGCAGTCATTTATTTAACAATAAGAAGGGGGAGGGTTATAGCTTATACTTCTCTATACTCCCTTTTTTTTAACATAAAATGCATAAAAGTTGAGTCCCTTACATTCAATTAAAAGCCAGACCTCATCTGTTTAAAAGCCTGGAAACTTTCACAAATTCTTCCAAGAATAGTGGTCAAATATCAAGCCAGAATTATTCCAGTAGCTTGTTGATGGCTACCAAAAGCATCTGGTTGAGGTCCAACTTGCTAAGGAAAGTTTAGCAAAATATTAGTGGGTTGTATGTATGTTTGTCTGTATGTATACTTTTGACCTTGTGTGGATTAGACAAAATCCAAAATAAATTCAAACATGTGCACCCAGTTGTTCTTTTTCAAAGACATTAAAGATGTATGCTGTCTAATCATTCGACCTTGGAAAAAGAATAGTTCCAAGAATCAATTAAAATCCCCAAATTACCATGACATTCACACCCATGAGTGGATGTAAACTCTTGACCACAACTGTATCCATCTGTGGAAGCAGTGAGGATGCTTTCACA